TTTCTTATAAAAAGAAGGAACACATTTCCTTTTATTAAAGTACATGTAAAAAAGGGCAGATTTTTTATATTCGCAATGTTTATCCTTTTCCTGAACGGTTTGAATAATTTAAATGACTGATTTGGGGGCGGCAAAATTTTGTTTACATTTTTTGTACTTCTTAGAATACATTTAGCTTTAAAGATGTGTTTTGCGCAATCAAGACTTTAATTCATTCCTCTTTGAAAAATTTCGTCTGATAAAAGATACAAAAAAAATTAGACGGAGCATTTCTGTGTAGAAAATTTAGACATGAAATAAGTTAAAGCGATTATATCAACTATTAAATTAATTATTCTGTATGCCTGCTTATTTTTTATGGAAATACTTGGCATTTTCAGAACACAAAAAGTGCTTCAAAGAACTTTGAAATATTAGTACAAACACATTAATCAATTAAATTGAAATAAATAATGGGATGTAATTTAAAAGACAGAAATAATTTAATGTAAGAGATTTTGGTTTAAAAATTTGCACACACAAATAATTTATCATATTTTGAATGGTTTTATTTCATAAATAACTTTGATTTTGAAATATGGCATTTGAACCTATAAACCTGTGTGGATACTGAAAAAGTGATGAATATATAAGAATATTATCATTTTCAGTAAGTTTTCTTGTTGAATAATAAATTCTGATAGTCCTATGTTATAAGAATAGGGTTTAAGTTTGCATAATTTCCTCTGTTAAATAAAAGAATTAAGTATCACTTTTGCAACACAAGTTTTTTAAAATTTCGTCTCGCGCAAAAACCTCATTAATCTAATATCATTCTGACTATGTAATTGGATTTCACTCATAGATGGCTTCAGTTGAATTTTTAGGGTTGTAGATGTAGTACAAATGTAAAACACATTTTCTTATGGCAATTCAGCTGTCAATCAGTAAAAAAAGTTCTTTGAGTTCTTTGATGGGTTGCGTAGTTTTCGTTTGGCGTTCGTTGAAAAATGGAAAATCAAAAGCAATATTTTCGTCATATTTTGCTTTTTTATTTCCGCAAAGGGAAAAACGCATCGCAAGCTCATAAAAAGTTATGTGCTGTTTATGGTGACGAAGCCTTAAAAGAACGGCAGTGTCAAAATTGGTTTGCCAAATTTCGTTCTGGTGATTTTTCACTCAAAGATGAAAAACGCTCTGGTCGTCCAGTTGAAGTTGATGACGACCTAATCAAAGCAATAATCGATTCGGATCGTCACAGTACAACACGTGAGATTGCAGAGAAGCTTCATGTATCACATACATGCATTGAAAATCACTTAAAACAACTTGGCTATGTTCAAAAACTCGATACATGGGTTCCTCACGAACTGAAAGAAACGCATTTAACGCAACGCATTAACAGCTGCGATTTGCTAAAGAAACGTAATGAAAATGATCCATTTTTTAAAACGACTGATAACTGGCGATGAAAAATGGGTTGTTTACAACAATATCAAGCGGAAAAGATCGTGGAGCAGGCCAGGTGAACCAACTCAAACAACATCAAAAGCTGATATTCATCAAAAGAAGGTTTTGTTATCAGTTTGGGGGATTACAAAGGAATTGTCTACTTTGAACTCTTACCACCCAACCGAACGATCAATTCTGATGTCTACATTGAACAACTAACGAAATTAAACAATGCAGTTGAAGAAAAGCGGCCCGAATTGACAAATCGAAAAGGTGTTGTATTCCATCATGACAATGCAAGGCCACACACATCTTTGGTCACTCGGCAAAAATTATTGGAGCTTGGTTGGGATGTTTTGCCACATCCACCATATAGTCCTGACCTTGCACCATCTGATTACTTTTTGTTTCGATCTTTACAAAACTCCTTGAATGGTAAAAATTTCAATAATGATGATGATGTCAAATCGTACCTGATTCAGTTTTTTGCTAATAAAAACCAGAAGTTTTATGAACGTGGGATTATGATGCTGCCTGAAAGATGGCAAAAGGTCATTGATCAAAATGGGCAATACATTACAGAATAAAGCTATTTAGTTCCATGAAAAAATTGTCTTTGATTTTCTAAAAAAAATCCGCAATTACTTAGTTGCCAACCCAATAGATTGACCTCGTCTTTGTAACTGATAATTATTACTTGCAAATTATTCTCTTGCTGGTGTACTATTAAGAACCCTTTCTATTGCTGAGTTAGGGTTAACAACCTTCGCTCTCACTACCGCCTGCCTTACGGAAATCGGAGTAAAATGCTGGTACCTGGGCTGATTGTGCGCATGCGCAAACGTAGGTGGTGTGAATAGCCTGTTAGCTAATCGCACCGTCGGCGATTAGCCACTGTGATTAATTTATCCGTTGTTATATGTTTGCGTTTATAATGTCATATCTATATCAATTAGATCAGAAATTAGACACCGTTTAGGTTAATTGAATATGAAGAAGCACACGAAGACTGCCTACCTAAAGAAAAAGATGCCTTCGTGGAGATCTTTTAGAGGAAATTGGCTCATATTCACGTTTCACGTGGGGGAAACAACGAAAACCGCCCATGCGGCCAGCTCGATCGACTGACGTCGAACTAACAGCATTCAGCGGCCTTAACCACTCAGTTGCTAGTGTGTTCAGAAAGTAATTAATTTTATATGAGAATTGTGTTTTGGAGGGATCAAATTTAGATATTGAAATACCAAGCATGTATACAGGAATTCAGATGGGTACCACTTTTTAGTTCCCTGAATTTAATCTTCAGTGCGAATCTTCATTAATATTTATCAACTCAGTACGAATCTTCATTCCCAGCTTCATTACTCCCAAAGAAGGCAAGTGTAAATAACTTGAGATCTGAAAATTTCGCATAACAGTTTGATACCTCAAAGGTGATTTTAGCATTCTGAAAATGTAGATCATAAAAAACTGAACAAATATTTCGCTATTCGACAAAGATGTTTACTTTCTAAAATATCAATGCGTTCCTGTATATGCAATTCTGCATTCAAAGAAAAAATGGCGTAGCAATATAAATTATCGAACAGCTACAGTAATATCTTATATCGCTAAGTGATAAAACTAAATTTTTATTACTAAGTACATTAAAACTCAACAAGGATTTTATTTTCTAAAGCTCCAGGGTTTGCATCTGCATTTCTTTCTTGAACCAAAAACTATGAAGAGATTAAAAAAAATTAAACATCTTATATGCCTGATGTAAAGGCAGATCAACTCTGGGATCGCTATGTGCAACGCCACATGAAAGAAAAATAAATAAAAAATTTCTTGGTTCATTGTAAATTTTTAGTGCAGTACAAACGCAGTGACCAATTTCTATTTCTCCAGAAATGAATATTACCAGAGGTGTAAAAGTAATAACACTCATTTTGGAATCCGAAAATGCTTCTTAGTAAAGATTTTAGTTTCTTTGTAGTAAATAAACTCTATTTAATTTGCTCTTCAACATCAGAATAATAATGCTATTAAAAATGAAAATGTATATATTGTTTGCAGGAAATGTTTGAATATTTTAACTCACTGAATTTTCGATACGATGACAAGTGAATATATTTAACTCCGATTGCTTCGCTTGTTTTTTAGTACATAATCTACGTGCAAGTTTAAAAAACTATTTTAATCATAAAATAGAACACTTTTTAGAGCAAAATTTTATAGTTGTAGCATACATTTCATCTGAAGAAGATAAAATAATATCCCCCCTTGGAAAAACTGCATTCATCTACCTGCAGTGTGAAAGCGATTAGTGCATCCCGCATTCTAACGCCTAGGGCATTGGAACTGGACTGAAAGGAAATCATGACAGTTTCCCTGCCTGCCCGACAAAAGAGCACTAATCACCTATTCGTCAAGACTCTATTCGATAATTTTTCCCCCTTTGCATAACCGCTGAGCGAAGAGCCCCCCAGTGAAGATACACAACTGTTTTTCAAGCCCACGCGAAAAGGTTAAAGCATTCTGAGGTATTATGAAACGAATTGTTGTCTCCAGAATCCTAGCCAGTTTTTAATATTACCATCAAAACGTTTCAGTTATAACTTAGGAAGACGGAAATTTCACTTAGTTTCATTTACTACAATGGAAATATCGCCCTTTCTTTCAGCGGTTGAGAACATTAAATCAATTTTCGTTTTCATAGCAACCCACTGATTTTGATAGTTTTCCGTTAAATCCATAACCTTAGAAAATTCATCTTCATTAAAATTTTCCATTTCTAGCCACGTTGCTTTAAAGTTTTCATCAAATTGAAATAATCTGTCAGCTTTATCATTAAAAATATTAAATATAGATATAAAATCAATCTTACTTACGGCTTCATCTTTTAGGACAGTTTCCACTTCTTTTAAAGAAGTTGTGAAATATAGCCGCAATTGTGTTCTTTCCCGTTATCCATAGTCCTGTTCCACGGACAATATTATCCATATTCCTGTTCCACGGACGCCAGTATTTTAAAGGATTCGAAAATAACTATGGATTTAATATGAAAAAACACTTTAATTGCAGATATTTACAAAATTTAGAAGCAGTTATTCTTACAAACAACGATAGAGCTTATTTTTAAAACGTAAAACTTAAAAAGAGTTGTAGCTGGTATTACTCAAACAATACGGGCAATTTGCTGTGTCGTAGAAAAACCTTGGTGAAAACCGAACTGATGATCTTGATGATGTTGTTATCGTTGACAAAGGCAGTGAGACGTGTTTCGATAAGCCTTTCGAAAAGTTTGGCAATTGCAGGAAGTAGGGTTATCCGTCTGAAATTACTAGTAAGGGATATTTTTTGGAGAACAGCCTTAGTTGCGACAACTTTTCAGGAAAATTTATTAAATCGTAAACAAGCGTTTAAGATATTAGTTATAAGGACGATGCCTTTCCTTGGGAGGTTCTGCAAGGCCTTATTAGTGATATTGTCATATGCAGAGGCTTTCCTTGGATTAAGCTGCTTAATTAATTTTTGAATTTCTTTAGGAGAAGTCGGTTCTAGGAGCATGAAGCGCACATCTAAACTCTTCATGTATGTAAACAAGTCGACTGGAGCGTAAGCATGTTTGTTAAAATCATTTGCGGTTATATTAAATGCAGACACATTTCTTATGTGATACCTTTTCGACAAATTTGTGTTTCATATCGGACGTTTAGTAAGAAAAGTGAAACTGAAAAAGAATCTCCTGCGACGATAGACATTCTTGATGAATTAAAAGAAGAAGAACTAAGCGAAGAGGAAATTCAAAGAAAGCGTTTTAAATCGCGTTTACCTGAGAGAGTATATAGAATTTTCGTGCAGAAAGAAGCAGTGCCTATTGAAGCTAAATATGATTTTCAAATGAAACGTTTGCGATCCTATTACGCACGGCATGGAAAAGATAGTAAATTAAATCCAGGTATTTGTTGGCCAACTAGAGAGGAAATTTTAGAAACGATAAAATATGACAAAATATTTGAGCCACCACTTCAAGACCGAATGAAAAACGTTGAAGCTGCTCGAGCAGCAGAAGAAAAGCGGAAGAAAGAAGTCGAAGCTGAAGTTGATCGAAACATGGCTAATTTGGATAAATGGATGGCTGAATATTATGCAAAGATAGAGAAAAAGGAAAAGCAAGCAATTGAGTTAAAGCAAAAGCGAGAACAGCAGATTGATGCGGTAAGTGAATATCTAGGTTATGAAATTAGTCCTAAGGATCCAAGGTTTCAAGAAGCAGTTGAACAAATGAAAAAAGATGAGAAGAAAGCTCTTAAAGCAAAGAAACAGAAAGAAAGTTATGATAAAATGATTGCAAAATTGAAAGAGATGGCTGAATCGAAATGATTTTATCACAAACAAGTTTTAATGTATAAACATTTTATGTCCAAAAATTATGAAAAGTATTAATGATTAATAAGTTCATTGTTGTGTTAAAAACATGCTTATGTGATCAAAGTTTGACAAAACATTTGTTCACGAATCTGTATAAAACAATGTAATTCTTTTAATATATTACTATAAAAGTCACTTGCTTGGACAAATATTTTTCTTTGCCAAACTTCTCCTAATATATTGTACATAAAATCTAACATGAGTTAGAAGTAGGATTTCGTGTATTTTTTTCACTTGTAACCTTATGTGATTGGATAAATTTTCCCCCAACTCTTCATTTTAAGTTAAATATTTAATTATGAGAATAATGCAGGTAATTGGATTTCGAATGAGTCTTTAATTGAATTTTGTTCACATGTTCAAAACTATGACATATTAATGATGCAGTTTGTGGAGTTTGCTAAAAAATGAACTACCTTTTAAAGATGTATGTAAAAACAACATGGTTAGAGTAGACTGAAGGATACCCCCTTCAATCTATCGTGATAGATCTTCATTGTATTATCGTAAAATTGTTTCATTTATGATGGTAACCTGAGTATTTGAATGTTCCGTAAATATACTTTTACCTAGAATTGGGTGCTCCTTTGACTTTTTAAGTGAAAATGTATCAATGTCAGGGAAGTATGCATTGAAAAGTTAGTGCAATTCTCTGATGTTATTTTAAGTGAAAATAGGTCGACGTATACATGGTTAAAGTCCAGGGAGTGTGCAGTGTCTAGTTTATGCAATTCTGTGACTTTTTTTTTTTTTTTTTTTTAAAGTGAAAATAGGTCAATATGCACATGGGTGCTGAATTTGTGCAATTCCTTGGCTTTGTGTAGTGGCAATTTTAGGTACACAAAGCCAAGAAAACAAGTCAAAGAATTGCACAAACTCTCTATCCATGTACCACCAATTTTTGCCAAGGGGTACCCATAAATATACTTTTATTGTAACATATTTGAAAGCCTTTTTTTTAATATACGAATAGAAATTAGTGCATAAAATTATTATATTATTATATATATATCATTAACTGTGTGTACAAAAAAATGCTTCTGTGACCACCGGTAAATTTTGCATGACTTTTTTTTCGAGAATTCCTTATCTAAACTAGTAATGATTTTTGTTCTTACTTTTTAGTATTTAAAAGCTGTCAGTATATTTTAAAATGATTGAAAAATGGCCTTGAGCACTTCCTTGTTGACCCTGTGAGCAGTGCTGCATTTTGGGTCTGCTCATGAAGACCTGCATTTAAATAGCTTCTCTTAGCTAACTCTTTATAAAAATTTATTTTAAATCTGTGTTTCCATAAACTTTCATTAAGATAATATTTACATTATGAAAGAAAGAAAGAAGGCAAAATATTAAAATTTTATTCCAAGTGACAAAAAAATTATCATTTCAGCTAAAGGTAGTCATGCCACTCAGAGGATTAAAGTAACCATAATATTTCATTGCCAAAACTGGTACACTAAATCTACAATTTTTTAACTGGCAACTTATATGATTATCAGATTTAGTTGCCAAAGATTTATAGAATTGCTGCTATAAAAACGAAGTACCTGTTCTTGTCTTTTGGTCATTATTATCAACTTTTATACCATATGAAAAGTTAAGAATAGAATGCTAACAAAAGCTTATCTAATCTTAAGAACTCTTATAATTAAAATTATATTATATATTATACAATCGGCTAATCTTTAGAATATGGTAACAGGTAGTTTGGCGACATTTTGGTAAGGCGATAAAGGTTACTAGCTAGGACTTTAGCAATAATCTGAGAAGTACACAGTTCGAATCACAGATTATTTTGTCTCAGAGAAATGTGACATTTTCCGGAAAATTTCAATGAGGATTTTAGCTAATAAGCACTTAGAAACAATTTTGCTGCTAAAGTGCAGAATCGCCCACTTATTTGTTTGGTGCTTTTTACAAGAGTAAGAAGAATTGGATTTTTGCCAATTTTCTTTGACTTTTTAAGTGAAAATAGGTTGATGTGTATATGGATAAAGTCAAGAGTGTGCGCAATGCCATTTTTGTGCAATTCTGGGATGTTTTTTTAAGTGAAAATAGGTCGACGTGTACACGGATACTGTGTATATGCAATTCTTAAAAACGCGGCAAGCAATGGCCGATTCTACACTTTCTCCCAATTTCGCACCTAATCTTCATAATGATTAAGCACTTTTGTTCCATAAAGTTCTAGCATAAGCGTAATTTGGCTAGCAGATTGTTGGAAAAAATGTTGAGTAAAAAAAAAAAAAAAAAAAAAATGCCTTTACTTCATGAAAACAAAATGGCGTCCCAAAAAAAAACTAGCAGGGTTGGTCGCCAAAAAATAGCCAATTTACCATAATGTAGAGATTCACGTTTATAGAATCTTATAATTAAAAATCAAATAGTTTTTAAGTATACAAAGTTTTGAAAATCATAAAATAAACCTTGGCATTTTCCGTGTAGACTGGGCGGTCACTCCATGTCTGTCTACTAACTGGATCAAATGCATTTTTTTAATTGATAAGAATGAATGAAAAACAACGGAAAAGATGCTGCAGTTTGTTTTCTGAATACAGTTTCCACTTTAACACTTAAAACAATTGTAAGTTAGACAGTTTCTGTCAATTTAAAAACTAGTCCTTCAACGATTAAGGATATAAAAATTAAAATTTTATATTTAAAATGAGCTGTTCAAAATGACAAAGTCAAAAGTGGAAGGAAAAATTGCTCTGGAATTACTTCATCATAAATTAACACCATATGGAGACCTGAGCACTGATTTAACAATTATTGTTAAAGCAGTAATCAATCACAAAAAAATGGCAAACGTGAATCCCCAATATGTAATGTCGGCAAATTTAAAATGTCAAAAGTTTATGCAGTGGCTTGTAATAAGGAAATACCTCATAAAGATAAAGATTGTTTAATATGTAACTGAGCACTTTTTCTAAGGATTGTTTGTGCAGAAGCATGCAGCAAATGTGTCCTGCAAATGAAATAGCAACAATTTTATTTTGCTAGGGCCTGAAAATTTATTCAGTGAAAGCAGTTACACCCGATGTCAAATGTTAATTGCTTTCACTACATGTAGGCTTGTATTTAATATGCCTCTTAATGTGTTGAAGGCAAGTCTGGCTGCAGGTATATCACACAAACAAATAACTAGGACACTAGACAATAATTCTTGCATCATATATGAAGCAATATATGAATACTGAAACTATTTCTTTACAGATTAAATTATTTTGCATATCTCATCCTTATAATTTTAGGAGTAAGTGCTTTGTCTTTTATCTAGGCTTTTTTTCCTTCATGATGTGTAGTTCCTCACCATAAAAAAATCAATTCAAATTTTTTTATGGTGAGGTCTAATCAAAAAATTTTATCTCTGCTTTTGTTTTCTTAATTTAACTCTGCATCCCTGCTACTATAGTTATTTTCTTTTATTATCATTGCTTAGCTTGTACATTGTAACCTGTGATAAAAATCATTATAAATGAATGTCAATTATGAACATTCTGATGAATCTGCAGTACATCTTATAAAGAATTTAAAATATATTTCTGGAATCCATTCAGAGATAAACAGTTTTGTTAATGTTGTTGTTGAAGCAACAATTTCAGCAGTTCAGTATGGTGAATGTACTTTAATTAGTGCTTTATGATCTTGAAAAAACTGGAAAGGAGCTCATAAGTGAAAACTGTACATATTTATAATGTTGCTAGTACAATAAGTAACCAAAAGTATAATACAGTACAAAGTCCGAAATCCGGACTACTCTGGACTTCGGCGATTCCGGATAATAGATCATCAATTTAAATCTGGTAGGATGGCATGCAGAAATTATACAATTAAAAATATGAAATCGTATAATTTATGAAATAAAGAACAATTATGATCTAAAGGGTATCAAAATTTACAAAAGAAAGCTTAATATTTATTTGTTTACTTTATTAAACATTTCTTTCAATGTAAGTTGTTTAAGATGCTTCCCACAAAAAGTTCGGTACAACTCTAATATACGTCCTAATTTCACCAAATGTGGCGATATGTGTTCTGCGCTGGTTTTTGGCACGATTACGTGTCCTATGGCAACCCTGTTGACGTTGAAAAATCTTTCGCTGGAGCTCGTTGATTCGCCTCTGTGTCTGAGAAGATGGGAGGGAAAGATAAAATGGTAGTTGTTGAATTGAAGTTCGGCAAAAGGAAATATCATTGTGGCTATCCTGTTGAGGGGTAGTGGGTATTTGGAAGTGTGGAAAGAGGGTCTGGGAGATTATTTTTAATGGCAGTGCATGATAGAAGTAGGGATTTGTGATTTTATTTATTTGTGAACCATAGTATAAATTTCTGGATAGTGTGTCTGGCTATCATGTAAATACGATAGTGATTACGTGGCGGCATGTTAAAGGCGGTATGAAATTTATATTTCTGCTATTCGAAAACGCATTAATTCATGGTAAGTGCATTTTATTTTATCCTTCTTCTTATTTTGTAGAATGTTATGTTCATTGGTTCTTTAGTATGAATTTCTGTCGTTATTGTTGTTTTTTTAAATTGTTTGAAATTTATTTTGTTGTTTAGTGTCTAGACTGTGCAATTCGTAGATGTTTTTTAAAGTTTAAACAGGATGTTGTGTACATGGTATTCTTTGAAATTTATTGTTGTTATGTTAATTTATTAAAGCGAGGTGTGCGTAGTTTGTAGATTCGTTCGTTGCCTACATTGTGCCATTCGTAGATGTTTTTTTAAGTTAAAACATGTCGCCAAACATGGATTCTTGTCAAATATTTTTGGTTAGAAACTTTACGTTTTTGCTATCTAAATTTTTTGTTTTTCTTTCGGATTTTTAGTTAAATTGTATGTTGAAAACGTAGTTTTTGCATGTGCGAAAACCGCGTTTTTGGAGACATTTTAGGCTAAAAGTTCGAAATGTAGAAAAAAAAATTAGATAGTAATATGGCAGCGTGAAGTTTCTCGGCAAAAATATTTGGCGCGAAATTTGGCGACTTGAGGGCGCATATCAGAGTAGTTCCAAAAGTTCTTATTTCTTGTGTCATATACAGTGGACTTTCCAATGCCATACTCCTCGCATAATTTCGAGACGGATATACCTTTATCCGTTTTTTGCAGCAATTCCACTTTTTGTTTAATGTACATCGAAACATG